TAAAGATTACCTCAATCAAGTGAATAATTATACAATATAATTTCCTAAAAAATGAAGAAACATAAATTTGGTTAGTATTTATATATATATAATTTTAATCAAATAATAATAATCAAAATATAAATGAAATTGAATGTTAATTTATATAAATAAAATTTACTTACCCAATGATTATCTTCCAACAATGTTTATTGGAAAACAAAATGAAAAAAAAATAGACTTACAAATAAATTCATTAATAACACAAATTAGTGTTTAATTAAATATAAAAAAACAATGGAAGAGAAAAAGAAAGGAGATTAAGAAGATATAATCCTAAAATTATATGAATATAATGTAGTTATAAACATCATATAATTAATCTAACAGTATTTGAATGGAAGAGTAAGAGATGGGACAGATAAGGGAGGAGAAGAAAAAAGAAGAAAAAGAAGAAGAAGAAGGAAGGAATGAAGAAATGATCGGGTTAGAGTGTTCTAGATATATATAGACTATTTTACCAATGTGTAATATGTCGGAAATAATTTTACCGACAAAACTCACATAGGCAATTAACCTAAAAGCGGGAATCCAAAAAAAGCAAAAAATTTGCATTCCCGTCGAAATTCACCGTTGACCTGTGTGTGGTATATCGGAAATAATTTTACCGACAAAACCCACATCGGTAATTAATCTAAAAGCGGGAATCCAAAAAAAACAAAAAATTTGCATTCCCGTCTAAACTCACCGACCAGTTTCAACAGGGGGTCTCGGCATGCAGACAAAAATGAAAGGGGATGGGGGCTCTTGGCAGACGAAAATGAAAGGGGAAGAGGGGTCTCGGCAGACGAAAATGAAAGGGGCGGGGGGGTCTCGACAGACGAAAATGAAAGGGCCGAGGGGGTCTCGACAGACGAAAATGAAAGGGGAAAGGGGGGTCTCGGTAGGCAAGGGGGAAGCTTACCGACCGGTTCCCGTTGGAAACCCGTAAAGCTCACCGATAGGTTCTCGTTGGAAACCTGTAAAGCTCACCAACGGGTTCCTGTTAGAAACCCGTAGAGCTAATCAACTCTGCATTGCTTCAGGAATCTGATTGACCAGGATCATCACCGACAAACTCGACGTTGGTGTGTAATGCAAATTACCGACGCGAATATTGTTGGAATTTATGAAAAAACTGACGCGAGCAGCCAATTCACTGTGCGGGGTTGAATTGTGAACTTACCGACAAGGATCACGTCGATATATGAGTTACTGGTCCTCACGCCATCGGACTGACTTTTTCAGAATTTTATCGACAAGGAGCACATGTGTATATCATTAAATCACCGATAAAGATTTTATCTGAAACTTAAATAATATAAATTACTGTAATTTTTACTGTTACTACATTTGCAGATATGTTTCTTGTCGATAAAATGCTCATTTACCAATAACAAGTTTTACGTCGGTGATTTTGGGTTTTCTTGTAGTGAATAAAATTAAGCTTATAGTTAATAAACTAAAAATTGAATTAAACCTATAAATAAATAAACATGAACAATAGAGTACATCTCATTTACCACATCCAAGACCACTTATATATATATATATTTATTATGTGCCCTTAAAGCACATTAATTTCATCACCTATATTACATAAATCATTTTAATTAAACAGTTAATTAAATAAAAATTATTATTTTTTGAATAAATTACAATCAAACCTATCATACTAAGGGGGAATTGGAGAAGGGATCATTAGAGACTCGAA